CCACTGCCTCCCCCCCTCTGTGGAGCGCCGGGAGGGCATGGTGTCCCTGACAAACCAAATCCCAATTAGAGCCTGACATTTATGCTAAGTGAGCTGCTTGCCACTGCGCTGCGTCCACCGCCAGCCTGGCAGGCACCCCGCGTGCCCCTACATGAAAGGGTGTGCACAGACCCACCCGCGCCCGGCGTTTGTGCATGCACAATTAAAGACATTAACCTGCCGAGCTGGCGCTTCCAGCGCGCAGGCTGCACACTGCGGCTCGCTCGTGCGCATGCTTCGCTGAATCGGGCTCTGTGACTCACAGGCTGCTAACTCACCGCGGCGCAGCGATGGAGCGGTGCACGTGCTAAGATCTGAGAGACAGAGTCTTGCTTTCCAGAGAGCATTCCAGCAGGCTTTATAGGCAATGTGTGTCACCTGTGTTTGGGTCCAAAAAGTGACTAAGGACTCAGACAGGCAAGACACGAAGAAATGGGTGATCCCCAGAGGAATGGTTTCTTCTCCTCTGCCTCCAGCCCAGCCAAGTGAGTGGGAGCTTGGCTGGCAGTGCAGGGACAGACTAGCTGTGCCCCTTCTCTCATAAAAGACAATACAGGCACAAGGATGGCCACAGCCTGGCCTTAGCCTGTGGCCAGGGCACTAGCACAGCCCAGCCAACGCTCAGCAAACTTCCCGTGACCTGAGTGTTGAGGCAGCCGAGCTCTAACATGCTGCAGGCAGCAAAGACATGAATGACTTCTTAGGGTTTGCTGCCCTCACTGTCCAAATGAGGGCCAGGAGAGACACGTACAGCATCGCTGAGGCAGTCTGCACCACACGTGGAGAGAGCGGGGTATGTGGTCTCCTTCCCACAGCGTGCAGCTGCTCACTCATTGCACAGAAGTGCTCAACTTTCACACCACCCCACATGAAAACTCCCTCCTACTTCAAAGGGGACAGGATTGACCCTAGAGGTCAAAATGTGTCCCCAGGGCACAAGTCCTGAGAGTACGTCTCATGAGCATAAGTGAAGACCCAGGGCAGTCCAACCCTGCTCCATTAACACCATGAAAACCTTTCTGCTGGTTTGGACAGAGTAGGATCAAGGCCTTCAGGCAGAAGTTCTCATGGATTGCAGGAAAAATATGAAACTTTCCCTTTTAAAGATCCCATGGGATAAACACAGGAATGGTAAAGGGTCACCATCAGCTTAAAAACAGCTCAACATTTGTTTTCCTTAAAAAATAAGCTCTTAGGAAACTTCAGAGCACTACTAACATTCCACTGCTGGAAACGCTTTGAAACAAATAAACCTTTCCCCGCAGCGCCTGCAACCTGAATGAGCAGCATTCCTGACCCTCAAAGCCAGCGAGGCCAAGGCCCACAACAGAAGCTCTTGGTGGGTTTTTGCAGCCCAGGCCAAGAGCTATGCGGTCAGCAGAGCTGCAAGGTTAAAATCGCTTCCTTTTCTGTGTGCACGTACAGCTGCCGACATCCAAACAGCACAGGGTTCACAATGCTGCTGGGGCTCTGACCCCGCTGCCATGCTCACCCGCACGAGAGGCAGCGTGTGGTAGAGGTGCAGACCCCACGGTGCTCTTCTAGGACCACAAAGTTTTCACTTAATCACTGAAAGAAAAGGGGAGTGGAAAAAAAATGGGCAAAATACACCAATTCCAGCTTTTCAGTGCTAGCTTATTAACGTAGCATCACCAAGAGCAACGCAACCACACCTACCAGCTAAGGATACGACCCAAGATCTTTACACTCAAGACCCTGTTGAAATTCAAAGATGGTGAAGAGCTGAGGTGCCCAACTTATTAACCCAGATTTATTTTCAGGTCTTAAGACCTCTATCTTGACACCAATGGCACATTGCCATTGCGTGCAGCAGGAAGCGGGGAATGAAGCCTCATTGAAACCTGAACTTGTTGCTCCTTGAAGCTTGCTAGGTGCAGCTAAGGGGAATCTTTCTACAAATGGGAAGCATCTGAAAATCCATAGAGGGAAAAATCCTGGCAATCTCTCATGGGGGCATGGAAAACGGAGCAACAGTATTTTTTTAGGCTTGCAAAGGGCAGGGTAACAGCTGGAACCATGCTGGGTTTCTGCTGAGTTGGGCACTTTGGGTCCACTTTCACCAACGGGGTCCCCAGGCGTGTAATGGGAGCTTGCAGGAGAGGACGTGGAGCTAATCCATGGTGTGAAGAGCCCAAGGAACACAGGGCTAAAAAAAGAAATGCAGGGCTGCCTGAAAGAGTATCTTGGAAATAAAAATAGTGGAATGAGAGCAGTGGGTGTCTTGTCAGTCTCAAGAAGAAGTTATCTGCGCCAAAGACGAGGAGGAATTGCATGCAGCGCATAAAATGAAATCAGGAGATATCTGAGGAATTCAGGCCTGTCTCTCAGCAGACTTTTCTAATCAAGTGCCTCACAGAGGATATTTCACCATGGTCATTTCCTTCCCCCTCTCTCTCTCTCATGCAGACTGAGCCAAGGCTCCTCCTTTCATTTTTTTTTTTTCTCCTTTTAATTTTAATTTTTGTTTTGCCATTTTCAGAAGAAATAATAGAAACACATCCCACATGGCTCTTAAAGGCACAGCACATTTCCTTGCTGCTGTGGAGCAGCCACAGCCTCTAGCCAGGGCCAGCACCTTTAAATCAGAGTAAATTTGGCTCCAGAGGCTTTGAGTTCCCATTAGCTTTTGCCCTGCCCCTAAACCAAGCACAGCTGCTCTCCTTCACCCAACTGCTCACCCCAGGGTGGGGAATTCACAAGAAAAGACCACCCCGAACAAGGGCTTTTCATTCCTTGCTCCCTGGAGTCTGTGGATGAATTTTCTAAGTAGAAACAAAGTGCTGGAGGGAGCGCGAGGGAAAGGCAGGGGAAGAATAGGGGAATGTGAACCAAACAATGCTTCGATTCTGCCCTCGCCGAGGGGCCAGCATCGCCTCTTTTTCATGTTTCTGGAGCTGCTTTTAAAAACAGGAGGGGAAGAAAAAGGCAAATAGTCGTTTCCTTTTGTCTCATGCCTTCTTAATTTCCAAGAGCAGGACCAAAGCAAGGTGTGGCAATGAAGATGCTACCTCCTCCCCTTCCTCTGCCTGTACAGACCGTAACTTGCTGGGTGCCTGCCTGCATCCCGACAGTGCTTCAGTGCCTGGCTCAGCACAGCACTGTAAGGGAGAGCTCTCTGCGCTGGCACAAGACCCGATCACAGACCTCAGCA